CTGTTTTCATGTCACTGAGTTCAGGAGATCAATGAATAGTGTGATGGTCAGTATGGATTTCAACATAATAGAATCTGGAATCACATAGGACATAAGTCTCTGGGTATACTTGTGAAAAATTATCTAGATTAGGGTATCCCTTGGACATGCCTGTATGGGGCTATCTAAATCATGTAATTGAAGGGGGAAGACGCAGCCTAATTATGGATAATATCATTCCATTGGTGATAATCTACATGTCATAAAAAGAATAAAGGAGCATTCATCGCTTACTGCTTCATGACTGCAGCTGCAATATGACCAGTTGTCTGGAGCCTCTGTCACCTTGGCTCCCCTGCATGATAGAATGTACCCTGGAAGTCTGAACAAAAAATAAAAAACCTTCCTTCCTTAACACTTTGTCACCACCACAGGGTTGGCAACTAATGTAGATGGTGACAGGCATGGCTTCGAAGAGGGCTAACTAGTATACATAGAGGAGGTCAAACTAACGTTCAGATTATTAAAATCGGTCTTTGCTCCAGTTAGACTTAATCAAATACTCACATAGTATGCATATATATCTTCATGCTTATTTCCCATTGAAACTATTCTCTCCATATACTTGTCCTCTAGATTTTTTTTTTTTCTGTCATCAATTTTCTAATCATATTCTTCCAAGTTTTGGCCACACTCCATGAACTATCATATAATTATATAACTTCTCATTTCTTCTTACAAATAAGTGCACAACTAGGTGGTGATTTCCCTAGAGTGCTGCTCAGTGAGAATATTTCTTTTCACCACTGTCCTCAGCCATGTTCCATGGAGACACTGTAGTCTGCAGCCGTCAGCTTTGTAATGGTGTCCGAATGTTGTGCAGAACTGTGACTAAGCTCTATCCTTAGCCTTAAGTTAAAACCTTGTCATGTATTTTCCCAGGCCACAAAGATTTTTTTGAAAGTGAGTATGCTAGTTAGGTAACTTGATTTTGTGAATCCCACAAGTTTTCTGCAAAGGCTGGAGGAAAGAAAACAAGTTAACCCTTAATAAGAAATGCTGAATCTAAATTAAAAAAAAATGCAGGAATGTGATAGCAGCCAGTTCAGCATCCAGCACGAACTGATGTGAGAAGGCATGATGGAAACTTGGTTGCTTGCCATCATGCCACCTGGATGTAGGCTTTTTCTCAATGTAATGTGTCAATCCTCTGTTGTTCAAGTTTACCATCATAACAATGGGTTTGTGTATCTGAAAGCAAGAGAAACATTCCTAACTGAACCAGAGAAGGAAAAAAAAAAGGTCAATAAATTTCAGAATGCAAGGGATATGAATACACTTGCAAAGCTTTCTAGCAACGCAAAACAAAGAAATGATAATGTAATGGTTTTTCATCCCAATGACTAGAGGTTATGAGCAAAGAACAGACATCTCCCAAATTTCAAAGGAAACATTTTTTTCGTCTTAGACAATGTGTAGTTTGCTCCCTTTGAACTGTGAGGTAACGACATTTTCAGGTTTACATTTTCTTAAGTATTTTCCCCCTGTAGTGTTTCTTAGAATGTTATTTAAAGTTGTGCTTTCAAAAAGGCAAAGGGCCCAATCAAGACTTGGAATGCAGCCTGGGGTCCTGTTGACATGGTAACAACATCCTAGGTTAGCATCTGCCATGGGTTTGAAGGTAGAAAAGCCCCTATAGTGTGGAAGGAGAATTGCTCAGGCAGGGAAACTACAATAGAAGGGATGAGTTGAGATAAATGATGCTCTAATGAGACAGAATGGTAAATAATAGGAGCAGAGAAAGCTAGGCAAGTGAAAATATTAAGCAATTATTCACCAGCAAGAGAAGGAAAATGTGCTATTAGAGGGTTCGTAGTGCACAATTACTGTCAGTATTGATGTGTGGCTCTCCTAGGAGAATAGCATATGACTTTTGAAGATCTCACTCTAGATTGTGACATGGTAAAGTGCACCCATATCTCATGTAACTCAGACTGTGAAAGTTAAGAATTGACTAGTCAATAAATGTATTTTAATCAATTAAGTTGCTAGAAAACTTATTTTTTGTAGTTTTGTTTTCATATTTTTCCCCAAATGTCAGCATAAGCACTTAAAAATCCATAGATAGGCAAGTACTTATTGTCTCTCATGAGTCCATCATGGCACTACACTGCTAAGTATTCATCTGCTATGGAGTTAACTACAAAAGTAATGCTAGCATACATTTGATTAGCGGTCTTATCAACAGTATCATGCAAGGCATTTGCAAGATGTCCTAAATATTATCTGATCTACTATTTCACTTCATGACATGCTTACTATATGGCATATCACACTTAGAGATGACATGTTGATTGAATGAGCCTAGAGTCGCTCACCTAGTCCTCCAGAATCTGATATTGTTGTAAAACTAAAACAGAGATGGTAGCAGAGAAGAGCAGTGTTTAGAAATGAGGAGGTTAATAACAGAACAAAGTGGTAAAATGTTTGCATCTGTACACTGGAGAGATGGGTTTGGAAGTAAGATGTGGTAGGGAAGAAAATAGTTGATTTTTATAATAAATATTTTTGTATTTTTAACCAAATGCTTGAAATATTTCACAAGTGGTTTAAAGTTTTAGGTAAAGAAAACAAAAGCAACAAATGTCACAATTCAAATCCACACAAATTTTCTTCACTTTGTTTTTCATATAAAGTTGATGTTTTAGAGGTGTGGTAGTCAAATCCCATAGTACCTGAGTGACAATGGCGATGTACTACCTTGAGATTGTAATAATCCTTCTCTATCTTGAGATGGTACTTTGTTACATTCTTGTGTATTTGCCCAACTTCAGGCAGCAACTAATGCTACTAATAGGCCAGTATAATGAGGCTGAATAGTAATGTAAAGAGAGAGAATGCAGAACCAGAAGAATTATTTATTAAACTTTCTATTCCTTGCTTTTATTTACCCAAGAGTGTTTATTGGCAAAAATTGAAAAATATTAATTTTGTCATATTAAGCCCTAAAACTTATCAAGTGTTTTCCTCTCTCTCTCTCTCTCTCTCTCTCTCTCTCTCTCTCTCTCTCTCTTTCTCTCTGTATGTTGAATGAAGGGTCTTGAACATAAATACACTATTCTCAATTATCTCAATTATGGAACATGCAAATGCTTTATCTTTATGATACCCAAGCACCATCCTGGCATAGGTGAGTCTTTGTTCTCAGAGGCAGGTTGATGTAGACAATGCATCATATGGACCTGAAATGACGCTTTAGTAGGTACTGAGCATTTTATCTCATATGAAAATGAAATGTTAAAACAGTGCTATTTTGAGTACATCATCTTTTGTTCCTTTCTTCTCAGTACATGATGCCTGTGTCAAAATATTTCTCCTAGTAGGACCCCATCACTCACTGCCACTATCAAACATAGAGCTGACTACTTACAAAGATGGAATGCAGGTAGAATGACAAAAATCATGATGAACTTGATAGAGAATATCATTCTTTCTGACAGAGCTTACTGAGATGCTGAACCTGGAGAGATAAAGTAAAGCTGGATAAAAAACCAAGATGCACAAACTTTTCCAACGAAGTTAGGTGAGTAGATAATTAGCCTCAACTTACTCATAACATTTTAATACTCCCAATAAACAAGGCAGACTTTGCAATAGAAATAAAAGAAACTAGTCATATGAGAGCACACATGTGTGTGTGTGCACCCACACACCCACACCCACACCCACACCCACACCCACACACACACACACACACACACACACACACACACACACACACACACACACAGGAATCGGCAGGCTCCAGTAAGGAACAAAACCTGAGCAGATGAGTCAGGTCACAGGTGAACACAGAGACTAGTGTTAATGATCTGCATCACAAAAACTTACCAGTATACTGGGACATATTCCTGCACTACCTGTGACTGTTGTGGAGGTAACATCAGATGTCTAGCTGAAGTCAAGATATCTGTGTCTAATACCAGCAAATGAGGAGCTTAAGTAAACAAAATCAAGGCATCCTTTCCTTTATGGTCTCCAATGAACCAATATTCTGTTTTATGGACCCTGCACCTAACGCCAGACAGAATCTTTCCCAAGTTCATTTCCAACTATAGTTGACAAAATTTTTATCCATCTTTTTGACCAAAAAAAAAAAAAATGCCCTCCTCAGTTTGGTGATTATTTTAGCAGCATGCCTAACTTTATTTGCCTTAACATCCCACTGTATAACCATTAGATAAAATAAATTCCCTTGGCAATTTCTTTTTGCACTTCTGATAATTGAAGCTAGGGCCCAACACATTCTAGACAAGCACTGACCACTGAGCAATACTACCTGAAAATGATGATGATTTATAAAGCAGCCATTAGTTTTCTCAGTCGTCGAAATGAGGATCACCTATTGGGACCTTGGCATCAGCATGTTCATATGCAAAGATTGTTCATATGCAAAGATTGTTTATCTCCCAAGACATGGTCACACTATTACAATATTGTTGCTAAAGCCAGGGAAGGAAGATTTGTAAACAGGTCCAGAAATCATCTCATGTTGTATAAATGATGCTATTTATTTCTTCTAATATCTATAGATTTGCATATGGGAAAACGGAACACTTACCAATCATTTTCATCACTTAGATATTGGGGAACCACTGTAAACATGAAAACTAGTGTTTTCTTAGTTATTTTTGCTTTCATCTTTATTAAAAAACAAAACAACAATGACAAAAAGCATTGAATCTCTCTAAATGACTTGGAAGAGCAATAAATGTATTTTTGTTAAGTAACAACCAACTTGACGAAAACATAAAGATTTTCTTTGTATAACATCACCAATTACATCAGCTATTTAGAAAGTAACAATATATAGAAAGAAAAGAATTAAAGAACATGTTTTCTATACCACAGCTGAGTATGGAGTCTTCTACCTATCTTACCAGTCTCTTCAGCTACATCAGCAGAACATGCTTTGTGGAATTCATTTTAAAAACTCAGTCAACTGAGCAGAAAACTTCCTCCTTGGTGCTTTAATATCATAATTTCAACCTGTCAAAATGAGGACTTTTAAAGAACTAAAATCTCAAGTGAAAACTGTGGCTAAATCCAAGGCCAGGGATCCTGTGATGATTTCCAGAGGCTACATATCTGTAGTACCTGGAAAGGCTTTCAGGGTAGTTCACGGAAAATAACCACTTTTGATGTCTAGTTTCTTGAGTCTTGCTCAGCCTTGATGCAGGGCAGGAGGGGTTTGGTCCTGCCTCACCTAAATGTACCAGGCTTAGTTGACTACCAATGGGAGGCCTTTCCATTTTAGAGGAGTGGATGGAGGTAGGGTAAGTGGGAGGAGGGCTGGGGAGAGCAGGGTGGGTATGTAAAATGAAAAAAAAATGATTAAATAAAGAAAAGAACAAATTGTTTTTTAAGTAAAAACACTCGTGAACTCAACTAACTGCCAACCAAATAAAGCCAAAGTGACCATCATCAATTTATCAGAGGAAAAACACAGTATAAGCATGAGAATTTTTCTGATGAATTTAACTTTCAAAGGAGTGCAGCTTATTTTCTGATTTCTCTTATGAGCCCTGGTATTTCTTCTTAGTGTGTGAAAACTACTGACTTAAAAGGCTCATTAGTGCAAAGGGTTCAGATGATGAATAGAGCGTCTTCATTTGGAGCTTTGCTCTTTCCACATGAATGACCGCGGCTACTGGGGATCCAGACAAGATGGAAAGAGACATTTTCTGCTGCCATGATTAATCAAGACAGAAATCTGGAAATGGAGATAAAAAGATGCAAGACATACCCGTGGTTCCAGGAGCATGTGACATAGAGCATGCTCTCAGAGAGCGCAGTGAGATGGTGACACACATCAGGCCCCTAACAGCCTGAGAATCTCAGCCATCACGCTGTGTTCTATGTAACTCTGCAAAGTGACACCAAGAAATATAATTATCTGTGTGTAGCCTAATACTGTGCACATCTGTTTAATCCAAGGATCTCTAGTCTAACCAGGAATGATGAAGAAAAGCTGCAGCCTGGCTCCCTGCAGTGTTTCTTTAACCCACGTGTTATCTAACTGAGGCCTTTCAGGGAACTATATTAGTCTAGGAATAAAACATGTATTTCATGAGCTATGCCCAGTGGCTTGAGAGGAATTTGTTCTTTTATTCACTCACCATTTCAGCATCCACTGAGCTTCTTTTGCACGCGTACTCATACTCAGACAAAGTAAGAGAAAGGAACATTGATTGAATGAAAAAGACGGTATCTGGTTTCAAAGACTACAATCTGGGAAGAGAAAACAATGTAAACATTTAAGATGCAAAAATAAAAATAAACACATTGAAATAACTAATAATATATTACAGAGAACCACTGACAGATAAAAACAGGAAAAAACAGTGAGCTGAGTGTACATACATTTCTAATGAAGTTTGGGAGAACCAAATTTAAAGAATTAATTCACTTTACAATCTTGAAAAATTTGGCTCCTTCACATCATTTTTTTCATCTGAAAATGAGAAGGTTAAACTAAAGTTTTCTTTCCTGACCTGAAGTTTTTTGATCTGTGATTTTATGACAGAATTTTCCACAAGGACAAATATATGTATGAGATTTTTCTATTCATTTTACATATCAACCACAGATTCCCCCTGTCCTCCCTACTCCCACCCCCCAGCTTTCTCCCCCAACCCACCCCCCCATTCCCACCTCCTCCAAGGCAAGGTCTCCTCGGGTTCAGCAGAAACTGGTTTCTGCAGTTGAGGCAGGTCCAAGGCCCTCCTCCCTGCACCAAGGTTGTGCAAATTGTCTCACCATAGACACTAGGTTCCAAAAAGCCAGCTCATGCACTAGGGACAGGTCCTGGTCCCACTGCCTGGGGGGCCCCTAAACAGTTCAAGCTAAACAACTGTCTCACTTATCCAGAGGGCCTAGTCCAGTACCATGAGGGCTCCTCAGCTATTGGTCCATAGTTCATGTGTTTCCACTAGTTTGGCTAGCTGTCTCTGTACTTTTTCCAATCATGGTCTTGATATCTCTTGCTCATAGAATCCCTCCTCTCTCTTCTCAAATGGACTCCTGGAGCTCCACCTGGGACCAGCCATGTATCTCTGCATCTGCTTCCATCAGTCACTGGATAAGAGTTCTATCATGACAGTTAGGGTGTTCGGCCATCCGATCACCAGAGTAGGTCAGCTCAGGCACCCTCTCGACCATTGCCAGTAGTATATGGTAGAGTCATCTTTGTGGATTCCTGGGGAGCTCCCTAGCATTCTGCTTCTCTCTATTCTCATGGTGTCTTCATTTATCATGGCATCTCTTTCCTTTTTCTCCCACTCTGTTCCTGATCCAGCTAGAACCTCCAGCTGCCCTAAGCTTTCTTTCCCCTGACCCTTGCCCTCCATTACCCTCCTCATTCCCAGTTTGCTCCTGCAGATCTCATCCATTTCTCCATCGCTGTATTATTCTTTAAACACTGTATACACACATATAATTTAAATTATATATACATATATATATATTGTATATAAAAAAGACAATTATATGTGTATACAGTGTTTAAAGAATATTTTTCCCAGGCAGCGGTGGCGCACGTCTTTAATCCCAGCATGCGGGAGGCAGAGCCAGGTAGATCTCTGTGAGTTTGTCTACAGAGTGAGATCCAGGACAAGCATGGAGAAACCCTGTCTTGAAAAACGACAAAATAAAAAGAAAGAAAAGAAAAGAAATATTTTTCCTTTATGAAAACAAGTTAACAATTCTGTCACTTATATTCAGATCTCTAGAAAAATCCCATCCAGCAGTTGTGGCAAGTGATATACTAGACAAAGAACTCCCAAAGTGATATAAGGGTAAGAAGGGGATACCTGTGACTCATGCCAGACACTGGAGCCAGTTTCATCTTCTTGAAAGGTGGCTCTGGTAAAATACACCCTCATCATCATGTCTTTGCTGCACTCTGCTACACAGAGAAAGGCTTCTCTCTTAGCTTTGAGGCATCCAGTCTCTCAGCTAGTTGCCTTTAACTTGTGTCCCATGATTCTTTTCTAAATTAAACACTATTACATCATAAAGAAGAAAAATTTTGCAAGCTATTCCAGGCAACAAGAAACTATACTAAAAGAAGTATGGGTAGCCTTGAAACTCAAAGCAGTAAATATAGCTGCAATCTATGAGGTTTGTATTATGGATAGGATAGCACAAAGTACCTAGGCATTTATGCCCTTCTTTATTATTTTTGAGATATAGTTGTAATAACTATAAAATTTACTACTTTGTAGTGCAGAATTCAGAGGTGTATAATATATTCGCAAGGTCATTTAACATCTTTTCTTTCTAAATTCAGTACATTTTTAGCACCTCTTCTCCAACACACTCATTAATTTACGTGGTGTATTGTTTTTACAACTTTTGATTTTCAACCTACTTTCATCATTGAACCAAAAGTGTGTCTTCTGTATTTTCTGAACAGCTGCATCTTGTCTTGTCGATACTGCAGTCTGTGTTTTAACTGACACATTTAATCCATACCTGTTCAAGGCAGTGGTTAGTGAAATAGGAGGTTGTCTTTGGGACCCA